CGGAGAGAGAGAAAGGTGGATGTGAGAAACATCAATCAGTTGCCTCGAATACTCACCCCAACCGGTGATTGAGCCTGCAACCTAGGTATGTGCCCTGACGGGGAATCAAACCTGCAATCTTTTTGGTGTATGGGACAATGCTCCAACCAAGTTACCTGGTCAGGGTGGAATATGGACTTTTTTGAACTGCAAAATATTTCTTATTGGAAATGATTTTATATTTATTTTTTTAAAATATGTTTTTATTGATTTCAGAGAGACGAAGGGAGAGGGAGAGAGAGAGAGAAACATCAGTGATGAGAGAGAATCATTGATTGGCTGTCTCCTGCATGCCCAGGATGGAACCTGCAACCAGGGCATGTGCCCTGACCCAGAATGGAACGGTGATCTCCTGGTTCGTGGGTTAACAGTCAACCACTGAGTCACGCCAGCCAGGCTGGAAATGATTTTTTATTACAAAACTTTGGATTTTTTGGTGCCCATTTAAAACTGAAATATAACATACATATAGAATAGTATATAAAACATACCTATTAACAAATAATTATGAAGTAAACGCTTATGCAGTGACCACTTAACTCATGATACAGAACACAGCCAGCACTGTAGATGTTACTCATGTCCTCTGTGGTCACAGCCCCTCACATTTCTCGTGTGTACGCACAGAGTGCGAGAGGTATGTGGCAATGGCTTCTGTGGTCATCATAGCCCTGTACACCCTGTGTGTATCCCTAGACAGTGTGGTTGAATTTTGTCCTTTTAAACTTTATCTAAACGGAACCTACTCTAGGTGTTGTGTCTTGCCTTTTTAGCAGCATTTGTATTTGTAAGGTTTAGCCCTTGTTACTACATGATGTGCTGTCCTTGGACTTCACATTGTTATCTGGAAAAACAGTGAAAATGGCCCACAGGATCCACTTCAGGGTTTCAAATCTTTTGAGAACTTTTAAAGAATTTAATGAACATGTGCCATAGATTTAATTTAACTCATTAATTTATGAGATAACCTGTAAGATGTTACAACTGGTACAAATATGTGTACTTATAAAATGCCTTTTTATGTATTTGAAAAATACTTTTCTGACATTGATAAAATCTGACAAAACTGACCTTTACATGAGTGCATGTGTTTAGGTTGCTTAAAGTCAATTTAAATGCTTTAACATTTGAAAAAATAGAGATAAATTTCCTAGGCATAAGTTTTGTGATTTGCCCTTTTTTGGGGGGAGGGGAGCACCACAGTTCTTTTGATGGCAGCCAGGTGAAGACAAATTTCTTGATCCTGCAGCAGAATGAAAAGGCAGGTCATTGACAATCTTCAAAAAGGAACCCTGCCCATCTTTCTCTGCCTTTGAGTTTCTGTGAAGTTGGCGGGGGGGTGAGGGGTGGCGAGGAAGCAGTAAGCTGACCAGAAATAAAAAGCAAGGAGTCTGTGCTGTTTCCTTGATGTGATGAAGGTCCCTGTCAGGGATTTAGAAACCTGAGCCAGCAGATGAAACCTGTGTCATTTGCGTTGTCGTTGCCAGAGATAGTGCCAGCTCAGCCCCTTTCCTGGCTAACAGCCTGTTTCATTGTCTGCAAACCATATCCCCTGTCTGCTTGTCAGCACAGAGCAACTTCTAAACAAATATGGGACTAGTGAGAGATGGGAATGCCCTTTTCCCCCCACTCGAGGAATTTCATGTCCTAGCCTTCTAACAGTAAATATAGGGAAACATTCTATTTGGAGGAATTTATCTCTGTGGGATATAAAAGTTTTGACTTAAAAATCAAAGCTCAGCCCTGGCCAGGTAGCTCATTTGGTTAGAGCATCATCCCATGCACCAAAAGGTTTTGGGTTTGGTTCCCTGTGTGATCACATACCGAGGTTGTGGGTTTGATCCCGTTGTGGTGCATACAGGAGGCAACCGATTGCTGTTTCTCTCTCACATTGATGTCTGTCTCTCCCTTCCTCTCTCTCTGAAATCAATAAAAAAAACATGTCTTTGATGAGAATTAAAAGAAAAAATTAAAAGTTCATTTAAAAAGTACAGAAGTTTCCAAGTTTGTCACAATCCTCTGATACATTCATGCTGCTTAGAAAATTTTTTTCTTGGTGTTCAGGAACTAAGAATTTGGTAAGGCAAAAATGAAATGCAACCTATATTTTGGAGCTATTCCAAAACTTCCATTTGTAGGCTATCAGATTGAATGAAGGTAGAGTAAGACTTTTCCTTAACTTTAATATCTGAGAGAGTCTTTGCCCAAATTGAGTTTCTGGGGAAAGAAGTCAACCAACCCAATGATAAGATAACGACCACATTTAAAAGTGAGAAGTGACTGACACCATTGGCAGTGTTTCTTTTTGCCATTTGGGTATTTCCATATCTGAACAGCGGTGGCTTGATGGTGAGGACACCCAAACCATATCAGGGCTTCCTGCCATCAGAAGTTGTTTATGTCTCCACATTTTGAGAATGGAGTTCATTATTCGTTAGATGAGTGGTTCTCAGCTGTGGCTATACATTGGGATCATCTGGGGAGCTTTAAACTAATACTATTGGCAGGGTCCCAACCCCTGAGATTCAGAGGTAAGTGGTCTGAGTGTGGCCAGGGCATGAGGAATTGTAGAAGCTTGTCAGGTGTTCTAAAAGGTAAGAGCTGTGACTGTAGACTCCAGCTAAGGCTTAGAGCAGTGTTTCCTAAACTTAAAGCCATCAGTGTTCTTCCTTTACTGGGTCCCACTAGTATTATTTATTTAAATATTTATTTTTAAGGTGACTTGGTAATTTTGTGCATACATACATAAAAGTACATGGATCATAAATATATATAGTTTGGTGGGTTATCATAAATTGAAAACCCACCCAGTGAAGAAAAAGAAATTTGCACATACCCTAAAGTACCTTTCATGTCCACCTCAATCTCCATCCTTCCTTTTTTTGCCAAATTAATGGCTGTTTTGAGTCTAACATTATAGTGTAATTGTACATGTTTTTGAACCTCAAATGAATACAATTTTGCAGTGTATATTCTGCAGTGTTTGGCTTCTTTCTCACAAAGTTATGTTTGTGAGATTCATCCATGTTGTTGCATGTGGACGTAATTCTTTTTCATTGCTCTGTTGTATGAGTAAACCACAATTCAGTTGTCTCTTCTGTTTACAGACAGTGGAGTTTTCTCAGAGTTTGGCAATTAAGAACAATGCTTTTATGACTATTACTGGCTGTATCCCTTGGTGCACATATGTACTCATGCCTAGTAGGTATATATCTAGGAGTTGAATTGCAGAATCATAGGATATTCATGTGTTCAACTTTAAGAGATAATACCATGTTGTTCTTAAAGTATTTATACCAGTTTATACTCCCATTAGCAGTGTTACCTTCCTGTTGTTCTGCATGTTCACCAACTCTTGGTGTTATCAGCCTTTAATTTTAGTGATTCTGGAGGTTGTAGAGTAGTATTTCATTGTTTTTTCTTTTTTTCCTTGTTGGTTTCTTTTTTGTGAATCCTCACTTGATATTTTGTCTACTGATTTTTAGAGAGAGTGAAAGGGAGGGAAGGGGAGAGAGAGGGAGTGAGAGTGAAACATCAGTGTGAGAGAGAGAGAGAGAAAGAGAGAAACATTGATGAGAGAGGCACATAGATTGGTTGCCTCCTGCACACACCCCAACTGAGGCCTGGAATCGAACCCGCCACCCTTCGGTGCCTGGGTCGACACTCTAACCGTTGAGTCACATTGGCCAGGGCTTCTTTTTCCTTTTTAAAACTTTTATTTTGGAAATTTTCAAATGTGCAAACAGTAGTCAAGTGGTATGATGATCCTCATCCTCCCCTAATGTCCCATTACCAGGCTTCAGTTCACAATTAATCTTGATTCATTTATTCCCTCCCAGATTATTTTGAAGTTAATTGCAGACTTTTTTAAAATTCATAAATATTTCAGTATGTATCTCTGAAAAATAAGGACTTTAAAAAAACCCATAATACCATTATCATACCTAGAAAAAAATGAACAATTAATTCCTTAATACCGTCAAATATCTAGTTAGTATTCAAATTTCTAGTTGTCTTTCATCTATGGGTTTCATTTACATTTCAGGTTTTTCCTTTGGGCAAAATATAAATTATGTGGATACTAGGCTCATACCCAAGGGCTGGCAGAGAGGGAAGGGTGAGGTCAGCGGCACATGTTAACTGAAGGGGGAAAGGACAGAGCAAGTGCTGTGGAAAAGGTTTTCAGTGAGCTGAATCCTGTGGGGTGGTGGGCAGAAACAGGCCACAGAGCCTGAAAACTTAGACTCCTGTCCTGGGTCTACCACAAAGGAGGAAAGGACTCTGCTTCCCCTCTTAAAGCTGACATCCCATCTGTAAAATGAACATAAAAAATACTTACCCACCCTGGCCGGTTTGGCTTGGTGGTTAGAGTGTCGGCCGGTGGACTTAGGTGCCCCAGGTTCGATTCCGGCCAAGGGCATGTACCTCGGTTGTAGGCTTGATCCCCAGCCCCGGATTGGAGCACATGCAGGAGGCAGCCAAGTGATGTGTCTCTCACACATCGATGTTTCTCTCTCTCTCTCTCTGAAAAGCAATGGAAAAAATATCCTTGGGTGAGGATTAAAAAAAGAAAAAAGAATACTTGTCCTGACTGTTTCACAGGGCTAGGTTGAAATGAGATGTGATGATGCACACCTCTTGTTCGCTATTCCAGTGCAGGACCAAATGAGGTAGTGACATGCAAGACATAGATTGACCGAGAGGGCTGCTTATACAGGTGAAGAGGCCCTGCAGTCACAGGTTTATAGTTTATTCCTGCTGCTGTGGTCTGCCAGCTCTCCCTTCAATTTAAGGACCCCTTCTGTATACATCTTCAGCTAGTATGCCCGAGGATGTTTCCCTCCTTGCCTTTGAATTGATGGCAGGCACAACAACTTAAAATGGCTTTCTTGTTGATGTGTTTAGAATCTTCTGAAAATGGATTTAACCGTTAACTTACCTGTGGCACACCTGTGGTTTCAGAGAAACTCGTTTGCATCCCTTAACCCAGACTTTTGGAATTGGAAAGAGGGTTTGTGTGTGTGCGTGCACACGTGCATGTATGTCTGTTATGTGTTTTCAGAGAAGCTGTGTTCAGTGATGTGTATTGGTTTTCCTGTTTTAAGAAAACCTTCATTTACTAGTAATTATCATTGCTTTATTAGAAAATTCCAGTTTCCTTTTCTCATTTTAATGTAATGTTATTGAGGCATAATATATATATATATATACACATACAGAAAAGAACATAAATCATAAGTATAGACCTAAGTGAGTTTTTGTAAAGTCAACACACTCATGTAACCAGCACCCAGATCAAGAAACAGACCTTGTTAGAACTCCAAAAACTCCTTATCCTTCCTCTAGTCACTCCTCCCTGTCCCCCTGAACTGCAGGAAGAGACATGCCCGTATTGACTTTGGAGGAAAGGAAGGTTTGATCTAGGCTAGACCTGGGTTTTGGTGCTGAGGTTGGGAGTGTTATGGTGATGTGGACTATTGTGGCAACCTCCTTAGAGATCTTGGACTTTACACACAATGTGCTGATGTATCTTCAGGCAGACTTCTTGGGCATTGGATGGTCTGCCTGATGATATCCTCTCAACCTTAAGTGACTTCCTTTCTTCATCCATCTCTCTGTGCCTGCAATGTGCTAGGTCCTTAGCCCAAGTGTTGGCAGTTTAACAGAGGGATAGTCAGGTCTACAAGCCCCTGTAGTCCCATGGGTGGGTGCCGAATGGGAGGCACAGGGAACTGTGGAGTGATCCACAGGGTGAGGATGAAGGGTGTGTCAGGTAAGCTTTGTAGAGGGGTGAGTCTTGAACTGAGAGTCTGCAAGAAGGAGTTGGTGAGACCAAAAGAACGAAAGGGTGTTTCAGGAAGCAAAACCATTGTATAAAAAGGCACTGAGATCATGTTCTAAAAATTAATTTGGCAACAATTCTTAGTTTGTTGTTTTACAGCCAACATTTATTTAACAGCTAATGTGGGCAGTGTTTAGAATGAGAACATTTGCCTTTGTTTATGATATTATAATCTAAAAACTATAAATGCTTTACTTTGAGGAGTTGCTTTGGAAATTAATTGTTTTGGCCTTGGAAAACTTATAGAACATCCTGAAAATAGTGAATGACACTGGATATTTCTTCTCGGAGTATGCAGTGAGAGTCAGCTAGAGGCCTAGAACAGTTGGCAGGGTCAGGTATATCATCTGCTGTTGACATGGAGCTCTCATTAATATAGTTACCTTGCTTAGGTCTGATAGTGTCATAAGGAGTGTAGTGAGGCATGTGTAATTGCTGCTCTCATGGAGTAGGATGGTTTGTTTTCAGAGACTGGATCAGAGGCTAAAGCTAAGTTTCATCCCCTTGAACGTGTAACAGATATCTGAAACAATTCGGAGGATTATAGCTTGTCTAGTTCTAGATTTGAATCTAGGAATTCCCTTTGAAAAGCTGAACTAAAATTGTTTTTCTGCATTCTGTTATATTTGTGTTTGTAATGCTTTTCTACCCAGGATGACACCCTTGCATGTATGTCAGTAAGGTTGACTTGTCAATTCTTGTGACATGGAAGTTTTGTGGCAAAAAAGGCTATTAAGGAGTAAGAAAATTCAGCTTCTGACCAGGGTTCATCTGCCATCTCTTCCAGGGTTGCGGATAAAGGAAACCAAGGAGGTTTATGAAGGTGAAGTCACAGAGCTAACACCGTGTGAGACAGAGAACCCCATGGGGGGGTATGGTAAAACCATTAGCCATGTAATCATAGGACTCAAAACAGCCAAAGGAACCAAACAGTTGAAAGTGAGTACATGTTTATGGACTCTTTTCTCTTGCCTCAGAATCTCTCAGCACTTTGTGGCCCTGGGCAAGTGGTATAACCTATGTCCCAGTTTCCTTGTCTGTGCACTGTGATTAATGATTGTAACAGCGCCATTTGAGGGTGTTATGTGTATAAAGCAGTAACAAGTATAGGGCTGGTACACAGGAGGACTTAATAAGGATAGCTTTTTATTAATCCAAGGAAATTGTGTATGTTAAAGCATGAGCTTCGTGGTTAGTCAAGTATACCTTCTGCCATTCTATATCCCATGTTATGACCATTTGTCAGAGCCCTGGGCTTCTCTGAACCTGGGCATTATTTTTCAGTTATAGTGCTTGTGCTTACAAAAAGCAATAGCATTAAGTAATCTGGTAAGAGTTGTAGAATGGACGACAGGTTGACTTATAAGGGACCAAGTACAGAATCCTTACTGTAGCTCCTTGTATGTGTCAGGACCTAGAAACCGGGAGTAACTTCAGTGGTTGGTTCTGCTTAGGCCAGGGCTTTGTAGAGATGCCATAGTGCTGGCACTACGCGAGGCCCTGGAAGACCCTCAGACCCCTCTCCTATAAACCTTGAGGATGCTGGCAACAGGGGCGCCTGGAGGGAAGAGCATGGATTTTGGAGTTAGAGTCCGAAAGGGAATCCTGGCTCTGCTGCTAACAGTGTAGCCTTTGGGAAGTGACTTTATCTGTTAAATGGGAATAAAAATTTCCTATCTCACAGAGTTCTTTCAAGGATAAAAGTGGTAGCTTTGGATGTGTTACCTACTTACCTAAGAAGTGGTAACCTTTGATGTTATTGTCAGAGCTCTTAGAGAAATGGCGCAATCTAGATTGTAGGTCTTGCTTTATCATTATTATTATTTTTGTTAATTCTCACCCAAGGGTACTTTTCCCATTGAATATTAGAGAGAGTGGAGGGGTGGGGGGGCAGAGAGAGAGAGAGAGAGAGAGAGATATATAGAGAGAGAAGCATCTATGTGAGAGAGACACATCGATTGGTTGCCTCCCTCACGCTCCCTGACTGGGAATTGAACTTGCAACTGATGTGTGGGCCAGTGCTCTAACCACTAAGCAACACCAGCTGGGAAGGGGGCTTGCTTTATTATTAATAATAATATAACATTATCATCATAGTTCTCATTTATTGTATATGCCAGGCCCTGGGCTAAGTGCTCCAACAAATATTTGTTATCATTTATAACTTTGTGTGTGTATAATTTCCTACAGATGAAGGAACTGAGGCTCATAAAGAGGTTAAGCAGTTATCTTAGGATCATACAACTAGTTAAGTGGTAGAGTGCCCTCCAACCTGCTGTGTGGCCTTTTGAAGTCAGTTGAGCTCTCTGGGCCTCCATTTTCCTATCTGTAAACTGCAGTAGATTGATTGTAATTTGCAGTATAATTTCTCCATCTTTGTTCTCCTCCATGATTTTATGGTTCTTTGATTCTGAGAGGTGGTTTCTTGGTCACTGCTTTATGGAGATCATAAAAATGTCTCTTCTTCAAAGGGCCATTTTTCTTTTTCCTAAGAGGGTTTCCATCTTAGGAGCATGCCTCTGCAAATCTCTTTTAAACCTGCCCCTCATCTGTCCTATTCTGTATTAATTAGATTTCTTAGTAGGATCTGCCACCTTTCCAGTAATTATATCTTCAGTCAATTCATTTGGGAAATTAACCAATATAAAAATGCTTGAAGCAAAAAAATAAAAAGTATGTGCTCTTCAGTGTATGAGAGATAAAATAAGGCATGCAGTTTAGATTTCAGCTCTTCATAAGGCTGCTTTGCACAGTTTCTTTAAGAAAATAACATAAAGGAGAGGTGATTTTTTCCCCTCTAAAATGAGTACTTCTAGCTACTTTGAGCATATGTACAAGATATTTAGATAGATGGAGCTTAAATACTCAAGAGTGTCTAAGTGTAAAGGAGAATACTATACTTGCAATCAGTATTGAGTCCCTCCCTCATCCCATGCTCTGTATCAGAAGCTTACCAACCACTGTCCCTCCTGCCCATGGCAGTGTTCCAGGAGGCCATGGGGCCCCACACAGCCAGAGAGGCAGAGCTTTGTTTCTGTGGTTACCATTTGCAACAGCTTTATTGAGATATAAGTTCAAATAAAACTCATCCATTTTAAGTGTACAACTCAAGGAATTTAGATCTATTTACAGAGTTGTACAACCATTACAACCAACCAGTTTTAGAACACTGTTATCACCCCAAAGAAACCTCATGCCCAGTTATAATAGCTTCCCGTTCTTACCCATAGTCCCTGGCAACTACTAATCTACTTTGTGTTTCTATATACTCTTTGCCTTTTCTGAACATTTCATACAATTGGAATCATACAGTATGTGTTTTTTTGTGTCTGGCTGCTTTCACTGTATCCTGGGTTTTTGCTCTTTAATTTTGTTTGAGACAAAGCCCAAGTTTTTTTCACATTATAAAATGAGGTTTAACTTAGAGAAACTTATTTCTAAATACTAACTCCTTACAAAAGATGCTGTCCTAGAATATTGATCATCAAGGGTAGCCTGAATCTGTACAATCTGGAAAAAAGCAACAGTTCCCAAAATATGCTACTTTCCTGGAGATATAAACAGGCAGACAAACAGGGAGCAAACACTGGGATTTGAATCAAAAGGCTTTGGAAAGATCCTGGTTTATGTTTCCCTTTGAATTTTACACATCTGTGATCACCTCTGGGTGCTGTTATATAGATGAGGAAACTGATAGCCTTGTCCAAAGTCATAGGCCCACAAAATGCTAGCTACAAAGAGTAAGCAGGGTCTGGCTTTAGTTGCAGAAAGTTCTGTCAGTACTAGAGGTGAAGAATGTGAAGGATTGAAGCAGAGACAGCAGTCTTTAACGGGGTATTGGGCCTGTCATCCCAGGGACAGCGTAGGCCACCTAAAAGCAGTCAGAGCCATATTTGCCAGTTTGCAACCTTAGGAGTAAAGGGAAAAAGGAGACTAGGGTTCCCCTCATGCTCCTCTCTGCCTGGTATGCAGGTACTCTCAATCTTTTGCTTTCTCTTTAGGATACTCAAGCCCCCAAAGCCAGCCTCACACATCCTAATACACACACATGCATGCACACACACAAATACACTTTCTCCATATAGTCATTAGCTATCTCAAATCTCAAACAGAAAGATACTTTACAGTATGTCAGAAATAAATATAATAATGTATCACAGTTCTCTGATTCACATATTTTTAAAATTTTTTAAGCTGGACCCCAGCATTTTTGAAAGTTTGCAAAAGGAGCGAGTGGAGGCTGGAGATGTGATTTACATTGAAGCCAACAGTGGAGCCGTGAAGGTAATGTATGATTTGTCTGCCATGGGGAGACCTAGGTGACTAGGAAGTTGCTTTCTTTTGGGGCGGGTGTGGAGTGTCTGGTGCAGTGCTGATGGAAGGTCAGCAGTTGCCCCTTTATGTTTAATAAAGTTTGCTTTCCCTTTATCTTCATTCTAAAAAGTCTGTTAGAAAAATACTAAAACCTGTTTAGAGGGGGAGTACAGGGTGAGAAAGCAAAACAACTGTAGTCATTTTTAAATTGAAATGTGCAGTGTATTTAATCTTCCTTTTATCTCTGGTATTTTCTTCTCAAGATATATGTGCGTGGAAAGGAATGCTGCATTAGTTGGCATTCCTTTTATATCTGATTTTCAGTGTCCTGTACAGTGTTCCTCACTGTTTAATGGATGAGCATAATACTTCATATCATACAATAAATCACCCACCTACAAAAGAGTCTGAACAGCTCCCTCCGGCTCCAGTTAATCTATTGGATTTGCCCTTTATCGGGAATTGCATACAGTTAAAAGAGAGAAGGAAAAATATTCTTGGAGAAAGTATCAGGTGTTTTTCAACTGGGTTTTTGGAGCCCAGTGATGAGCAGATAGCTACCTTCTCTTGGCAGCAGGAGAATGGGGACTATTTGGAGTTAGTCGAGTATGAGTTAGTGGAGTAAGCTGTCAGGCCACACTTGGGAACTGAGACTTTATCTCACTTTAGCAATGTGCCATTTGGCAGTGAAAACTCACTAGGCACTCAGGTTTCTCTCCTTTTGCAGAGGCAGGGCAGGTGTGATACCTATGCCACAGAATTCGACCTTGAAGCTGAAGAGTATGTCCCCTTGCCAAAGGGGGATGTGCACAAGAAGAAAGAAATCATCCAGGATGTGACCTTGCATGACTTGGACGTGGCCAACGCCCGGCCCCAGGTAACTGCCTTTACCCAGACATGACCTGGCACACGAGCCCTTTCGCATGTGCATGGAAGCTCTGGGAGTGAATTGTCAGAGTCTTGCTGCCCTTTCTTAGGGCAGCAAGTCCTTTTCTGTCTGTAATGTTTAGCAATGAACAGCGACATGAGCTACAAGGGACTCCTTTGTTCCCATTCAAATGCTCTAGTCACAGATCATTTCACATGTATTGTTCCTTATCCCAGCCAGGCCTCTGGCCCTGAGCTCCACAGCTTCTGTGGCTTCTCCAGCAGCTGGCTCACACCTGGGAGTCTCTGGATATTAATGGTGGGAGGGCAGGAGTATTCTTGAAGCCCTTTGCAGGAGTTCAGAAAGCCTGAAAAAGCTGTGTCTTTCTCCCTGCTTAGCAAAATCCCCAGTTTTATAGCTTTGAATGGGACCTGTATTGTGCTGCTCATGCTAAGTAGAAGATGGATACTTTGTGAGAAAATACAGTATGACTTTATGACAGCTCTGGGAAATGTGCGATTTTAAAAACTCAACTCTTCCCTGCTGGTGGTCTTTCAGTTTGCTTTCTTCTTCATCCCAAGAGAGGCCACCTCTTCCCTAGGAGGGAACAGACTTTTGAATTTGAAATTGGATCCTTGGGTGTTTTGTCCCTTGGAGCCTTGGCCAAGAGATTGCTGACGAATCATCTGGGGCCAACAGGTCCTCTCTGCTTGTGGAACGGCTGTCCACTTGGAGAGAGTGCTGGGCTAAGAATTGGAAGTCAGGGATTGTGTTGCTAATTAGCTTGGCTAATTAGTCACTTTGGGTCTCCAGGTTTTCTGTGACTTAGGGCTCTCTGATTTTGAGTTTCTTCCTCTGAAAAGGATACATAGTTCCTGCCTGCAGGGCTGTTTTGAGGCTCAGATGTTGTAAGTCCTCAGGAAACATTTTCTGTCTTTTACTATTGAACATTTAGTGAGCACCTCTGTGTACCAGGGCCTGGTAACCAACAGGTTATCACGAATTGCTGCATAAATGACAAAACAACAGCTCCTTCTTGCTCACTACACCCCAAGGAGATGGTGGGGAGCGTCCAGGCACGGGGTGAGCCCATTAAGAACCAGCTATTATGCAGGGGTGGGCTCATGGACTCTGAGCAGCTCTAGGTGAGGACTAGGTTAATGTGATTGTATAGCTGAGTCTAGTGAGAGGAAATTCAGGAACATTATTAAGTACATCCTTATATCTACTTCGACAGTCTATTTGTCTCCGAGGGAGCTGGAGCATCATGAGAAGGTCAGATGCCCCACAGAGGACCTTTGACCTGAACTTGAATGGATAACTGGGAGTTTCCCAGGAAAGAGCACTGAGTCATAAAAGAGCTTGTGTATTCAGGGAACTGTTAGGAGCCCTGTGTGGCTAATCAAAGAATGTGGGATTGGAAAAAGGTATGACTGGAGATGGAGGTTGGGATAGGCCCCACAGAGCTTGTACTTCCCATGAAGGAATTTAATTTGATTCTTATAGGTCAGGGGGAACCTCTTAAGAATTCCTGTTTTAGAAGTTTCTTAAGCTTTCCAGTGGAGCTGTTCAGGATCTGTACACCTCAGATCCTGTCGAGTTGACATTCGGAACTAGTGGGATGGGGTTGGGTGGAGGAGGAGGCTTTTGTAGCTGCCTTAGAAAGCAAGACTGACTCTGTTGTCTTTTCTTACAAAGGGGGGACAAGACATCCTGTCTATGATGGGCCAGTTAATGAAGCCAAAGAAGACAGAAATCACAGGTAAGATAAATAGCAAGGCTTGTGAGCCAGAAGCAGAGCTGAGGGGCCCTGGATTCTGATATCCTTCCTGTGTGAGGCTCTGTGAGTGACTCTTCCCCAAAACTGAGGAAGTGCCCCGAGACAGGCTTTTTTTTCCTCTTCCTTCAGAGCCCGACTCCCTGCTAATAGTGTGTGGCTGGTTCAGACAGCCAAAACTACTGTGTGCTCTCTGGCCCTGCTTGCGAGCATGCCCTCTTGACTGCATTCAGTATCCTTGCACTCATCTTCGGAGGTGGAAGCCGTCACAGTCTCTGATCCCTTTGAGGTCCCAGAAATGTGGATTTTGTCGCCCCAGCTCTACAGCATAGCTCCTGCCAGAGTATACCTGAACACAGCAAGCTCTGCTGCCTGGGTACCAGACTCCCCTCCCCTGCCGGGGGGTCCCCATTCCACCGTGCTCAGCCTCCTGGGCACTTCCCAGAGTTTGGTAGGAATGTTGCTGCTGCCTTGTGGACCTTTAGTTTACCCTGCTTCTCTTCCCAACTGGTACTCCCTCTTTTTTTCTATTTACCACCTATAGCTTTGTTGTCTTAAAATATTAAACATTAAAGCATCTATTTTCTTTAAAGTTTTAGCCAGTGGAGTTGTCTGAGGCCTGTATTTTAACATGATTTTGACCATGCATTCTCTTTTGACCATCCCTTCTGCATGGCTTTGATGGGAGATGCTGTATCAAATCTTCACGTTCTGTGTTTGTCAGTAGCTCCCTCCAGATGATAGCACAGGAGCTGGCTTGGAAAACGAGAACTGTGACTTACTTAGATGGGTTCTTTAACTTTTGACTCATCCATTTTGGGACTCTGAGATTGGACCTTTTCTCAGAACCTTTCATTCCTCACAAGTTTCCTTCCAGAGGGGGCTCTACATGTGCCTTCTATTTATTTCTTTGTCCAGGCACGTGACTAAAAGTTAATTAACCTAAGCTTTTCATACAGGGCCAAAAGAAAGGGTCATTTACCAGTGCAGAACAGTAAAACTTGCATATGGAAACTCATTCCATCCAGGGCTTCCGAACTCCAGTGTCTCTGGGATCGGGCGGAAAGCTAAGTTTGGTTGGGGGTGAGTAATAGGACCTGGTGGGGAGTGTGACTTAAAGCACATCTTTAGGGGAAGCATTCATTGTGACTTCTGGTGAGATTATTCCTACTTACAGATGATGAAACCGAAGCTTGGAGTAGGGACATAACCTGCCTGGAGTCACATAGCTAACAGCAAAACCAGTCTCCAAACTTGGGTTTGGGTTGAATTCAGGTATGGGGAGAAGAGAAAAGATGACAGTTTTCCCCACCTAGTACTGACCTTGCATGTCTACCCTTGCTGTCTCCTAGACAAACTTCGAGGGGAGATTAACAAGGTGGTGAACAAATACATTGATCAGGGCATTGCTGAGCTGGTTCCAGGTGTGCTCTTTGTTGATGAGGTCCACATGCTGGACATTGAGTGCTTCACCTACCTGCACCGGGCCCTGGAGTCTTCTATTGCCCCCATCGTCATCTTTGCATCTAACCGAGGCAACTGTGTCATCAGGTAGGTTGGCTGTCTACCAGCCATGAGAGTTTTCCACCTTGCATCTGGGTTCATTTTTTCCTCTGGGATCACTTTAAACCCATTATTACATAATGCACTGGGGTGGTGATGAGGGAGGTCATGTTCATTTTGAGAGAAACATGCCATAGTGGCTCGCCTTCAAAGGTAGTTCATGTGTCAGCCTCAATCTGTCATGGTCACTAAAAGCAACAGCCACCTTGTTACTAAATATGAGGGCCTCCCATGAGGTGTCTGGGGTTACAGTGTGGTATGATTTGGTCATTCATTTGGAGTGGGCAAAGATAAGATTACATAGGCTAGTCTTAGGTTACATTATATATGTTAACTTCTTATTATACTAGCTCTCTCAAATCAATAAATAAAAATTATAAAACACAGCTTTATAAAGATATAATTCACACATAATACAATTCAACTAGCTAAAGTGTAAAATTAAGGGTTTTTTAACATATTTACAGAGTTGTGTAATCATCAACACAGTCTATTTTAGGACATTTTCATCACCCTCAAAAGAAACCGTATGCCTATCAACAGCTACCCTTGCCACCTCCATCCATAACCCCCCCACACACACCCTCTTTTCCCATAGCCCCTCTCAGCCATTAACCTACTTTCTATCTCTATGCATTTAATGCCTTTTCTGGACATTTCATATAAATGGCACCATAATCTTGTGTTTTTTTGTGTCTGGCTTTTTTCACTTAATGTGATGTTGTCAAGGTTCACTCATGTTACAGCATTGCTTTGGTACTTGATTTTAAGGCTGAATAGTATTTAAAAATATGGAATATTTAATAGCACATTTTTCTATTCATCATTTGATGGACATTGGGATACCTAGGAGTAGATTTGCTGGGTCAAATGGTAGCTCTGCTCAACCTTTCATGAAACTGCCAGACTTTTCACAGTGGCTGCACCACTCACCAGCGGTGTGTGAGGGTTCCAATTTCTCCATATCCTCAACACTTGTTATTGTCTGTCTTTTTTATTCTAGTCATCCTGATGGGTATGAAGTGGTATCTCATTGTGGTATTGATTTGCATTTCCCTGATGGCTAGTGATGTTGAGCATCTTTTCATGTGCCTAATGGCCATTTGTATATCTTCTTGGGAGAATTATCTGTTTATGATCCTTTGCCCATTTTTTATTCAGGTTATTTGTCTTTTTATTGTTGTGTTGTAAGATTTCTTTATGTATTCTAGATATTAGGCCCTTACTAGATATGTAATTTGCAAATATTTTTCTCACATTCTGGGTTATCTTTTCAGTGTCTTGATTGTGTCTTTCTTTTGACACACAAGTTTTAAATTTTGATCAAGTCCAATTTATCTTTTTTTTTTTTCTTTTGTTGCCTATGTTTTTGGTCTCATGTCTAAGAGAAACCATTCATTACATAATCTAAGGTCACAAAGATTTATACCTATGATTTCTTATAAGAGTTTTTTAGTTGTAGCTTTGACATTTAGGTTTTTGATCACTTAGAGTTAATTTTTGTGTGTGGCGTAAGGAATAGGTCTGTCCTACTTCATTCTTTTGCATGGGGATACCCAATTGTCCAAGGACCATTTTGTTGAAAAGACTGTTCTTACTTTATTGAATTGCCTTGGCAGCCTCAACAAAAAATCAAATGGCCTTTTTTTTAGGGCTCAATGGACTTATGGGAGTTACCCTTCATGTTACCCCAAGAAGTATTCTTTACTGTGCTTCCTGTCATCATAGAAGCTTTAAGCTTTGTGTTAATCGGTGTCTCTACAGTTCAAAGGTTATATAAAGAAGCAGTCGGACAGTGATTCTGAGCCAGGGAAATTTTTACTCGTTATGTCTGGAGGTGCTGCTGGCATCTAGTGGGTAAAGACCAGGGATGCTGCTAAACATCCTACAATGCACAGGATAGTCCTCTACAAAAAAATTATTTGGTCCAAAATGTCAAATACCACACTGGAGGAACCCTTGAGTTAAAATTTTTGCACACATTGTAGGTGTATCTATAGGATAAATTTCTAGAAGTACAATTCCCTTGTTCCTACAGATATACCATATTGGATTCCAAGGAGAATTGATGTCTGTGGCCTCAAAACCCAAACTGTACATCTGGAAGAGGCACACCATTAACATAGTTTGAACAGTTGTCGAATGGCATAATGATGAAATCAGTATTAGGCTGAGGCCAAAGTCAGAAATGAACTTTCAGGTACAAGAATAAATCTGCAATTTTAGCCAAAATATAATTATCATGGCTACTTTGTCAAACAGTGATTGCTCTGCAGAGAGCTCCTCCTGGAGTCACCGCTCTGGGCAGGAGCACTGGTAAATGGGGGGGAGCTTTTGTGCCTAGCAGAATAGAATTCCAGAAACCATTCTTTACTAATCTGTTTTCTAAAAGAAACTTCACTTAAGGCTCAGAGCTTGGACAAATTTTAAAAATGTTTCTTTAATTCCTGAAAAATGCCTAGCAGTCTTTAAGCATGTCTTTAAGTCTTTAATTTTATGGATTCAAAACTATAAGAAATTTTCTTAATACATTCTTATAAATTCTGTTATTTTGATGTCTGATTGGGGAGTACTTCATTTTTCTCTAACCATTTTTTCTTTTGACTTATACTTGTTATTATGTCTGAATTGAAGATGATTTATTGTGAGCATTATAGAATTTGGGATATTTTAACATAGTAACAGTGAGGTGTTTTTAAAGATTTTCCAACAGTTCTCAAGAGAATTCCAAAATAAGACTTAAGAAAACTCAAACTGATGGCATAAATAGAATTAAATAACTAAAATTAAATGTAGTTTTTAAAGGTTGTTTTGTTTAATGTGAAGATTGCAGGCAAACCAAACACCAATATATGAATCATGATATAATTTAATTTTTTAAAAATATGTTTTTATTGATTTCAGAGAGAGGAAGGGAGAGGGATAGAGAGAAACATCAGTGATGAGAGAGTCACTGATTGGCTGCTTCCTGCACACCCCCACCTGGGATCGAACCCTCAACCGGGGCATGTGACCTGACCAGGAATTGAACCATGACCTCCTGGTTCATAGGTGAATGCTCGACCACTGAACCACACCAGCCAGAAGGATAGAATTTAATTTTTATAATTCTTCCTTGTTACTATTTTTAGAATTATTTGTTGGTGGAAGAGATTTGTTTTCTCTAAAGTTATCTTAATATTTGTATTTGCTATTCTATTTCCCCATTTATTTTGAAAGGTCTTAACCATTTTTTTAAATTTAATAAATTGTTCATTAATGTAGCATTTTATTCTTTTTTGAATTGCTTTTATTGTGGAAAAATATATATTACACGGAGTTTGCCATTTAGGTGTACAATTTAGTGGTATTAATTATATTCACAGTGTCTTACAACCATCACCACCATCCATCTCCAAAGCTTTTCCATCACCTCAAACAAACTCTGTACCCCTTAAGCTGTAGGTCCCATTTTCCCCCTTCCACTCCCCCTGGTAAGCTTTATGCTACTGTCTGTATGAATTTGCCTTTTTTAGATATTTCCTATAAATGGAATCATACAATATCTGCCCTTTAATTATTTGGCTTCTTTCACTTAGCATAATGTTTTCAAGGTCCATCCTGTTGTAGCAGATGTCAGAACAACATTTTATCCTTTTTTATATATATATGTTTTTATTGATTTCAGAGAAAGGAAGGGAGAGGGAGAGAGAGATAGAAACATCAATGATAAGAGAGTCATTGATTGGTTACCTCCTGCATGCCCCCGNCTATAGTCATAACTTACCAAAATAACAAAGAACAAGAACAGGTCATTTGGATTTAACTGTTAATATCAGAATATTTGGTTTATAATATAAGTAAACACTGTAGAAATAAAACTTCAGTAAAAAACAACAACACATTTTATTCTTGCAATAATAAATATACATTTACACTTCAACTGACCAGATAGAGTTTCAAAAGATGTGTTGTTGTTTTTTACTGAAGTTTTATTTCTACAGTGTTTACTTATATTATAAACCAAATATTCTGATATTAACAGTTAAATCCAAATGACCTGTTCTTGTTCTTTGTTATTTTGGTAAGTTATGACTATAGACTTTAATCTGGCACCAGAAACGATGCTGAGGTAGGCCTTCTGCTGCTGTGACTCCCAAAGGTTGGGGCTTCCAGACACTGGCGGAAGCCTGGCCCTGTGGGTTGCCAGGTCTGCCCAATACACAACCTGCCGGGCAAGCAGCTGGTACCTCCAGGGCCTGGTGGATTTAATAGGACTCTTCTGGATTGCTCTTCCTATGGCTTGGCTAAGGATCCTAGAGGAAAATAGAAAAAGACATGACTGGACAGTTCCCCGTACCTCCAGGGCCTGGTGGATTTAATAGGACTCTTCTCCTGGATTGCTCTTCCTATGGCTTGGCTAAGGATCCTAGAGGAAAATAGAAAAAGGACATGACTGGACAGTTCCCCAAGAGAAACAAAATAACTAGTGCATATAAGGGAAAGCATTCAAATGAATCAAGGAAATGCAAATTCAAACAAGGTGTTATCTTCCATTTTCTAAACCATCAAAGCAGCAAAATATTTAAAAAATTATACCTAGTGCGGGCTATAATGCAATGAGATCAGATCACTTGTGTAGATTTGTAAATTAGGACATTCATTCATCCATTCAAATAGATACTCAGGATTGTGTCAGGCACTACTAGAATTGCAGATGAAATGTTCATGACTGTATGCATAAAATTATTCATCAAAGCACCATTAGTAAAAATAGCAACAGTTGGAACCTACCTAAGTGACCAGCAGTTTGGGTTTTATAAAATACCTGATGCATTAAGACCAAAATAACATAGACAAAAGCAAAAAAAAAAATCTACATACTTAGTATAGTTTATAAAAATGTGTATATGAAAACTTGGCAAATATGATTTTTGGGTGGCTTTTTCTCCCTCTTCCCCAAATTTCCTATGGTATTGATATTTGCTCAAATTATGTTGTTTTTGATGATACCTGAAAGTCTATTTACCCTGGCTCTGACTCTTTGGATGTAAACTAGCTGTTTTCTCATTGTGAGTGCCTCAGCCTTATTTTCCATGTCCAGAGTCTGGTCTCAAAAAGCCCAAGGTGATATGATCATTCTGGCTCTTGCAGGGGCACTGAGGATATCACCTCTCCTCATGGCATCCCTCTCGACCTTTTGGACCGAGTAATGATCATCCGGACCATGCTGTACACTCCACAGGAAATGAAACAGGTGAGCCTGCCTCCCCACCTTCTTGCTCTCTTCTTTCCTCATTTGCTCCCAGTGTTCCCTGATGCCATGAAGGAAGGTATCCACAGAGTAGTCCTGGCTCCCACAACTGTCCTGCCACTTAGCTGCTGTTTTGAGCAAGTCACAATATTCCGGAGCCTCAGTCCCCCATCTGACGGATGGATGGGCCAACTAGACATTGCCTGAAGTGTCACAAAACCTCAGTTGCCTACATCCCTTCTAATAAACTTTACGAAAGGGATGGTGAAAAACATTGACTTGCTGACAGTCATTAGGGAGGCCACTGGCTCTAGGAAAGAGGCAATGAAATGTGATGTAGCAATAGCCTCTTGTGCCCAGGCCAGGCCCTGTCTGAGGTCTCTTTTGCTCAGTGGGCAAAGCTGGGCACTCTGTCACACGAGAACTCACAGCAGGCCAGCTGCAGCAGGGCGCAGAAGCTAGAGGGGGTGAGCACTCGAATCTTAGCAGAGCCTGGCTGCCATAAACAGCCTGACTAGTGGCTGGTTTCTCATGGGCTTTGGAGGCTGTGCCTGGAGCTGCTGCCTTGGATGTAGAGATGATGGTGAAGCAGGGTCACACATCTTAGAGGGGCACCAGGAATGGAGGTCATAAAGCTAACCTTACAATGAGAGGCTTGAAGGAAGTGTACATAGAAGCATTTAGCTCAGTCCCTGACACATAGTGCATGGTCAGAATTCCACGTGCGCTGAATTTAGGTTAGGTTTGGGAGTGGGGGTGGGGGTGACAGGGATGTATGAGATTGGGCCTTACACCAAGGGGCACAGTCCTAGTTCGTCCCACAGGAATGGCCTCTTGCTTGATCTGGAGCTGGAACACCAACTGTGTGCTAAACAGTGCCTAGGCAATGCACACTTAGAGTCTGTAGTCCTCTTACTGGTACTTCAGTAGTCATTATGATCATAATCTCTTTTCCTTTTGATGGCTGAGTCACGGAGCAGCAAGTTAAGGATGCAAAGCCAGCCTATGCACTATAGAGCCCAGGCCATCTGCTCAGTGCCATAGGTTGCTGACCCCCTGGGACAGCACGGGCTGTCCACTTCCCTACTGTGTCCACCCATGCCCCAGATGGTCTCACTGCTAAGGTATAGGTCTGTCACTTTGAGGTCCACGTACGGCCAAGGCTGGGAGCGTAGGGTGGACCAGGGCTGCACTGGAGTCTTGATGGACTCTGCCTGGACCCTCTCCTCTCACCAGAGAACAGGCACTGTTTGTTGGACATTGTGCTAAACCCATGGACATGCTTAGCTTGCATGATTCCATTTAATCTCCAGAACCATGAGGCAGGGAGAACCATTATCATTGTCATTCTTAAAGATGAGGACACCGATAGTTAGGCTAACTAGATGCCCAAGTTCGTAAAGCTTGTCACTGGCTAATAGGTGACAGGACTAACTGGAGTCTAGGCTGTCTGATCCTGAAGCCCATGCTCCTAAGCACTATGCCACCAGCTTACCATCTTCTAGAAATACCTCAGTTCAGGGTGGAGTTCCTCTGGCAATTCGTCAGCAGGGCCTTTCCTTTTGGAGCTCTGAGGCCCTCTCCTAGGCACTCCTGGCTGCCCCTTTGCTCATGTGTGGCCTATCCTGCTTGGCCCAGCCAGCATTTCTTATTGACCAGTACCCAGGAGTGCCAGGGTGAGCATGGAGCCAGAGGTCTCCCTTCATAACCAGCATTGACAGAATACTGAAACAGTTGTAGTTCATGGCTGGAGGCCATGTCACCAGATAATGGTCTCTTGCTCTTGGATGAGTGCTAGGTTGAATTCAAGGCATGCACTGAATAGAAGCAGAAGCAAAAGCAAAGGAGAACTTGGTCTCTTTCCCATCCTTACCATTGGGACTGGAGCCTGCCAGGAGAGGCAGCCCTGCACACTCAGAGCACTTCTTGGCTGAGTGACATGAGCAATTTGGTGCACTCTATGAGCCTTGGCCTTCCTGGTTCACTGGAAGATCTGTTCCGTCCTTTCAAGGTTGTTGTGAAGACTAAGAGATAGTGATAATAACTTAGGGAAGGGATGGGTCCGGCCCTCCCTTACTACTGCAGTAATTACTATTGTTATTACCAGTTTGCAGGTGCTTCGCAGACATCCACTGGGATCCTTAAAACAGCTTTCAGTAACCGGGGTTTGCGTCTCGGGAACAACAAGGGCCCCACGGTCGCAGAGAATAAGCTGCAGAGCTAGGACCCCACTCAGAGCCAGTTCACATTTGTTTCCTCCATTTGACCCTAGAGTACATAGTCTGATCTCCTCTGGAATGTTCTGCAACTGTGCCTCCAGAGTAGTGACTGCAGGCCAGCTCCCAGCCTGGTTCCATTTGGCTCAGCCAGGTTTCCCCTTGGGTTAGCAGAGGACAGACTAACTGCCAGCATGTGCATTGCCTTGTTCTTGCAGCTTCAAGGGAGAACTTCAGCATTTTTACTGGGGCCTGAGGTAGGTTTTTAAAAAGCAGAGTAAATGTAACTTGTGTACTCTGCCATCAGTACTGACACCCTCATAAACTATCCCTGCAGGTTATTAAATGATTAAAGATCTAATTTATGAACTGTCCATTTCCAAGCAGTCTGAAACAAGAGCTCTTGGGATGGCTCTGACCTGCTCTAGAGAAAGTGAGAGCAGAGCATCCCTGACATTCCTGAAGCCCACTTCCAATTCAGTGCAGCTCACTAAAGATGAAATGCTTCATGCTGAAGCTTTCCCCTTGACCAGGCTCAAGGATTACATATTTGCATCTCCCTAAAGTTTTTGAAGGCCCCAGGGGACATTTTTTTTTACAGGACCTGGAGGTTTCCTTAGTCCCCAGCTGGCAATGAGAACCCCTTTTTATATTGGAGCACAAACATGTCCAGATCTGACCATTGTGGTCAGAGGGGAGTCCTGTGGAGGGAGCCAGGAGCAAGGATCTCCCTTCCTGCTCCATTTCTTCCTTCCTCATGTTCATCAAGGACCACCTCTGCTCAGCTGCATTTAGCTTTGGACCCCAGATGGTGAAACCCCTCATGCACAAGCTAAGATCTTTTGACAAAGGTCATACTCTGGCAGCACTTACTGAACAGATAGGTTTTTTTGTGGCTGGTGCAGTGTGAAATATTTTAACAAGTTGTCAGCATTTAGAAATCAGGACATTTCATACAAAAATCTGAGTTCCAAGTTTCTTGACCGAATAAAAGACTTTCCTGTCAGCACCTGGCCCCTCCAGTCCTGGCCACCTCCCCTGGTGTGTGCTGCTGTCCTAGCCACCTCAGCCCTGGCCCTGGCCCTGAACCTGACTTTTTTACTGAGCAGGACCTTTTCCATTCACGGCAGGTGACATACTGGGCCCCTTATCAGAGTCAGCAGGCACTAAACTCCCTCCCCCTGCAGCTCCTGCCCTCAGGGTCTCTGCCTGAGAGCTGAAAGGCTAGTTTGAACTGTCTGTATCCTCAACCTCTGGTCCTTCTCTTCCACTTGTAAGGCTTTAGCTGGGGGCTCAGTCTTTCCCACTTTCTACGCCTCTACCCGGGTGTGTTTTTATGGCTTTAATTTAAACAAGGGCTTCTTGATATCTTGTTTACGAAGCTGCCAAAGTGAAAAATTCCTGTATTATATGAGGCTCAAAGTCTTCGAGTTATCTCAGCTTCACAACACACAACATCATTATCCCAGCTGCCCCTTATCACTCAGTGCTGGTGCGCCTGCAGGATCCTGGTGCCACTGTGTTACTGCGTCCACGCCACCAGCTTATTTCCCATCCAACTTTACCCAGATCTTCAAACTGCAACAAGCGTCAGCCTCTTCTTGATAGATTAGATATCGTTGGGTGATGTTATGACGGCTGGTGAATCTTTAAGAGTAACTTCTTGATTTATTCAGCCATCGTATTTATCAGGCAAATAAAGAATCTCTACTTACCTGAGTGCTTACAGGCGGTGCTGTCCACACTGGAGAGGAAGGTTAGAGCCTGTGTGGGAGCCTGGTCAGGTTTTAGAGAGGCCTCAGCTTTCTGATTTTGGGGACTGAGTGAGAAGGGCTCGGAGGCAGGAGCTGAGCCAACTGCTGCACACCTCCAGGGGTACTAGCTGCTTTTCAGTCAGTATGAATGCAGCACCCTGGCTGTAAAGCTATCATGGCACCCCAGGGGTGTGTAAGTACAGTCCTGGGTAGGGGTTGGCTCTCTGCCCCACCAGCCCAGGATTGGGCCTCTGCTGCTCTGATGATGGGGATGAGAAACACTGAACAAAGTTGTTTTAAAGCAGTTTATAAATGAGACACTTGAGGTCAGTCACTGTTGATCATGGTTTTTCCTCTTCCAAAAGATCATTAAAATCCGTGCCCAGACAGAGGGAATCAACATCAGTGAGGAGGCGCTGAACCACCTGGGGGAGATCGGTACCAAGACCACTTTGAGGTGAGCCAGTTGTCCCCTGGATCTGCATCTGCCTGGAGCTGCTCCAGACCTCACCAGCACCTTCTCAGCAAGGCCTGTGGGAACATAAATGTTCATTAGGACATAAAGGCAGGCCCCCTTCTCAAGGCATAGGACCGTGTCTGCTTTTACTGGTGTGCTGGGTCTCATCCCAGGACACTGTGATTTAGAGTACGGAATATTTAGATGATGGTGTTTTAAAAGCTAGAGTAGCAGGTTAAGTCCCCTTGTCTTGTAGCAGGTGTACCCCTGTGGTAGAGAGCTGGCTCTGACCCCGGGTCAGTCCCTTTGATAGAGGAAGTGGACAGAACCAGAGAGCACGGTCCAGGTCAAGGGAGGTCATTAGCTGGGCCCTGCCTCGCCACCTCACCCTCTTGGCCCTGCTGGCTCTGTCCTCCAGGTGTGTCTCGGGTAGGGATGGCAGGTGAGGGAGGAGTGCAGACATAGATTGCTTTCCTGACTGTTCAGTAGCTCAAAGCTGTGGCCAATGGAGGATGTCCCTCCTCAGTGTCTGACTCCTTGTGAAGTCATGATTTCACTCCTGTCCCTATTTCTTTCACTCCTAAGTTTGAAGCAGAATTGCAAGCTGTTTTATTTGGGTGGAGTGGTGCTTTTAAAAACTCCTGGATTTTTGTACCTTTGGATAGGGCATGTGCTTTCAGGAACTGTGTGTTCATTCCCTGCCATGTTCAATGTCCTGCTCTGGACCTTGGCATTACCTGCCACGAAGTTTGTGGTCCCTTTCAAGCAGCAGTGGAATTACCTCTTGTCGGAGAACTTTTAAGACTGACAAAGATTTGGGGAGTAGGACTTGGTCATGTTGGTGACTTCTAATGCTTCAATGGGGTTGTGACTACAACTCTTTGAGAAAGGACAGTCCTCATATCTCTTCGTCTGCTGTGTCTGCAACAGCTATCACAAGCCCAGCATTGGGCTCAGCCCCTGGTGTCAGTGTTCTTTTTGATCTGGGAAGGGGCTCCTATCTGTGGCCACCATTTCACTCCTGCCCTGCCTCCTGTTCACTCTAGGTACTCGGTGCAACTGCTGACCCCAGCCAACTTGCTTGCTAAGATCAACGGGAAGGATAGCATCGAGAAAGAGCATGTTGAGGAGATCAGTGAGCTGTTCTACGATGCCAAGTCATCGGCCAAAATCCTGGCTGACCAGCAGGATAAGTACATGAAGTGAGTCTTTCTGCAAAGAGACACTCCTCAGCATGCTTGGGCCTGGGTGCAGCCTGCAGATACAAGGCTCACTACTGGCCTTTCGGATTCTGTTCCCACTCGGGCCTGGTTAGCAAGCAAGTTCAGTGTGCTAAGTGTTTCTTTTTAAGTTATCATAATTTTTCCCATGGTTGCTTTGAAGGGCATGGTTACCAAGCAAGTTCAGTGTGCTAAGTGTTTCTTTTTTAAGTTATCATAATTTCTCATCAGTATGTTTTCTAATAAATCTTTATAGGATATTTTGATGACATCTCTTTCTCTTTTAATTAAAAAACACAAAAAACTTTTGTATTTTAGAACAGTTTTAGATGTACAGCATTGTTGTGAAGACAGTATAGGGCATTCCCACATACCTCACACCCAGCTTCCCTACTATTAACATCTTACAGTAGTAGTATGTGGTACATTTATCATAGTTAATGAGCCAATACTGATACATTATTATACTTTATTCATATATTCTGTTCCTTTTCTGTCCCAGGATCCCATCCAGGATCTCACATTACATTTAGTTGTCATTTCCCCTTATGCTCCTTGTGGCTATGACAGTTTCTCACACTTTCCTTAGGAACTTCACAGTTCTGAGGAGTGCTGATCAGGTGTTCTGTCAAATATCCCTCAGTGGGTTTTTCTGTTTGTTTGTTTGTTTGTTTTTTTAAGGATTAAAATGTATTTTAATAAGTTGATGCTTTATTATTGCTCCATTTTTCCAGAAATATTCCAAAGGTATTGGAAAAATCAAGCATAGTATAACAATAAAAAATATGTACTGCATAACTACCTAAGATAGGCAAGGCTAAGAGCTACTATCTGACATCCAGCACACAGCAACCCTGTTCCCAAGATTGTACTAGGCCTATCAAGGAAAGTTGTGAACAGCAACTTCAGACACAAAAGGGCCATTCCCAGGTGGTCCTTACCCAAGAAAAAGATGGAGGCAAGTTAACACAAGATGTTTTTAAAGATATACTAAAATGAAAATTTCTAAGACAAAATGTCTTCTTAGGGCATGAAGGGATAATATATGGAATATAATAGACTGTATGAATGTTATCTGTGACCTCTGCAGTCATTTGCCTGAATTCCCACCTAGGAGTGAATGAAGTGATGGGGCTAAGGTCATTGGGAGATGTTAGTGGTACATGTGGCAGTGTCTTGGGTTGGGGAATTTAAGAATGAGAACGCAAACAGAACAGGATAAACAAAAGAACGGCATGATCGAGATTAATGGGAACTCTAACTGGATCCACTCTGCCATTGTTCTCCCCGCCCAGGCCTTCAATAATCACAAGACTTCATGAATTCACCAGATATGATTAAATGGTATACCACACAGAAATGATTTGTTAAATATCGCCCCTCCCTTGCCCTCTGCCTCCAGCATACTCCCTAGACTGGTACAGGCAGGGAAGGCCTAACTATTGGGAGGAATCCCTAACACCTTTCCAGGGTAGAATTCTGACTAGTCCAAAAAGGGTCCTTCTCTTAAGGGTTTTGGAAAACTAAACACTGCAATATTATTAGTATCGGTGATATTTGGAGCAAATTCAGCTCCAGGAGCTGCATGGTCAAATGCAGGAGGAATTCTACCAATTGCCCCTATTCCTTGTAACAGCTTGGCCAAAGCGTTCGGTAGTTGGTGGGGTCAGTCCCAAGGTTCCATCTGGCATCATAGTGGCAGGTCCTGGAGGAGCTGTGGTACCAGCAGTCACAGGAACAGGAGGCATGGCACCTCTGTTTTTTATGCCCATAGCACCTCCCATAGCCATCTGGCCCATCTGTATCTCCTGCTCTCTGGCATCAGGGAAGGTTCCCTTGAATCCTTCCTGCTGTCCCCGCATCTCTTCTTATGGAGCCTGCCCTCGTTCTCCTGCCTGAGCTCCAGTTGCTTTTGGTTTTGCACTTCTTGGTTGTGTAGCTCTTCCATCCTCCCTCATTTGCATGGCCTGGTGCTCATGGGGAGCAGCCTCTGTCTCCATCTCCAGTTTCTCATGAGCTTCCCTGATGTTGGGTCCACTTGGACCTGCTGCTGTTTCTGCATCTCACTGATCTGCCTTCCAGCACATGACACACTCATCCAGGCTATGCAAATCTAGGTGGCTGCTTCTGCTGCTTGTGAAATTGCTGGTTCTTTATAACCAGCTTCTCTGGAAGTCCCTCTTCGACATCTAACTGGTCCATATGTTCACAGTCACAAACCGAGGAAATGTGGTGAGCAGGAAGGAGCCTTCACTGCATCTGTCCAGAGTTTTCTGAGCAGCTGGCTTCCCTGAGAATTCAACAATGCCTTTTCCTGAGGGCATTCCTCGATCATCCACAATGACTATGGCCCTCTCTACCTGGCAGAACACAGACGAGGCTTCCTCCAGCAGTCCATTGGACACATCCTGAGGGAGGTTTGGACCTTAAGGGCTGCACTATAGCAGGCAAAGCGCACATGCAGCTGCTTTCCACAGTGACATGCTGTCTAGCTCCACTTTAGCAATCTCCACTAGGGTTTGTGCTTCCAAGCAGATAGAGCCAAAGCCATATCCTTATCAATGAAGACTTCGCCTGCCTTCCCATATTTCTCAAATAGCTTCCTCATTTCCTCCTCAGTGATGTCAGGAGGAAGATTGTCCACAAAGAGCCGGCTACAAAGGTCTCCCGGTTTCCTAAAATTCTACAGGTGAATAGTCAAGCTTTCATTTTTGGCTGCTGCTGCTGCTGCTGGTGATGCTAATGATGCTTCCTTGGAGCATGGTTTTGCTTCTCCAACTTAAAGGTTTTATTGCTCTGCAATTTTTGCACCCCTCTACCGACTGTTCTCAAAGTAACAGCAGCCTTTTTTTTTTTTTTAATCCTCACCCAAGGGCATGCTTATTGATTTTTAGAAAGAGAGAAATGTTGATGTGAGAGAAACATCAATTGGTTGCCTCCTGTAAGTGCCCCAACTGGGGATCGAACACACAACTTAGGTTTGTGCCCTGACCAGGAAACAAACTCACAACCTTTTGGTGCATGGGATGACGTTCCAACCAACTGAGCCACACCGGCCAGGGATCAGTGGGGTATGTTTGATGTTTTTCTCTTGATTAAACCAGGATTGTGGGTTATTGGGCATAAGACCATATAAATAAAGTGCCATTTTTATCACATACCATCAACAGATCACTCCTGGTGTTGAGCTGGTTCCCCTACCTGAGGTCATATTTGTCAGGTTTCTCCACTGTAAAGTTCCCCTTTCCCTTTCCCACACTGTCCTCTGGAAGAAGGCTCTGAGCTCAGCCCCAGCTTAAGTGGTGGGGAGTTTTGCTCCACCTCCTTGAGAGCTGAGCATCTACATAAGTTACTTGAATTCTTTTGCACAGGAGATCTCTTCTCACCATTTGTTCATTTGTTCAACCATTTACCTCGGTGTGGACGCATGGATATTTATTACATGCTTGGGTTATAATCCAGTACTATGTTCTTTATTTTGTTGCTTAAATTAGTCCAGCTTTGAGCACTGAGAGTTCTTTCCATTGGTTTCTGTGTCCCTTTGACATGTCCCTGTCACATCTCTTTGTTCACTGAAGTGGGACTTTCAGCCCCTTGAGAGGAAGGAGAAATGGCAGTGCTGGCAGATACCATACCGGAACATTCTCACCTGCTAGGATGAGCCCCTATTCTTTCTACCAGGCCGGCTCCTGTCTGCTAGCTCTGCGCTGCCTGAGGCGGGGCTTAGCCACAGAAGCAGTGCCTTGGTACAGGCTGGTTGTTTTGGTTCTCCACCCTCACGGGCAGGATCTCTATGCTGCTGTATACGCAGGAGAGGGAACTAACCAAGATGGCCATTTAAAATATATATATATATATTTATTTCAGAGAGAGAGGAAGGGAGAGGGATAGAGAGATATAAACATCAATGATGAGAGAGAGTCATTGGTCGGCTGCCTCCTGCATGCCCCCTGCATGCCCTCTGCTGGAGACCAAGCCAGAAACCCGGGCATGTGCCCTGACCAGGAATCAAACTGTCATCTCCTGGATGATAGGTCAGTGTTCAACTGCTGAGCCACACCTGCTGAGCTAAGATGGCCATTTTGATCCAATTGTTGCTATAATCCAAGTTAACCATGAGGTCCTTGGGGAGCAAGCACAACTGTTCTCCCTTTAGTGATGGTCATGTGATCGTGTCCAGAAGACTGTGGGACAGGAGGACTGAGATAATGCTGTGGGAGTCCATCCAGCCCTCTGAGAGCCCTCAGGTCCTGAGAAGGGCCCAGCTAGTCCCTGCTGGCAGAATGGACCTTCTTCCGGCCTGGCCCTTGAAGGGGCATTCCAGCATGGGGGTCTTGGGTGGGGGAGAGTGAGATACTTCTTGATGTCAGGGCTGAGCTCCGTGGCCTGTTCTGGGTACTCATATCTTGTGTCTCTGACCTCCCAACTTAAGCCACGTTAGAAAAAGGATAGTGATACCTCTGATACCAGTGAAGCAAGAGCTGATTGGGGGCTAAGGCCTGTGTTAATGCTTCATATTTCCTTTCACATTCTCACAGCAGCCCTATGGTACTGGTGACAGTTATGCCACTTGCCCAGCTGGTAAGAGACAGAACCAGGAGGGTTTGTAATCAGAGCGGTTGGAGTCTGTGCACCTATCCCCTATGGCTATAACACCTTCCTCAGTGCTGAGTTGTTGGAGGGACCTTCAAGGTCTGACCTCCATCCCAGACAGGTGAGGGAAGCAGGGGCAGGTATGAGAAAGGTGACTTTCCTAAGGCGAAACCTCAGAGGACAAGAACCAGGCTTGCCCACCTGGACCTCTTCCTCCAGCCTCCAAACCTTTCACAGTGTTTGAGGAGCAGTAGAGAAACAGCAGTGATGGCAAACCTCTCAAATACAGGTTGGGACAGAGTCCCCTCCCCAGCTGCTCAGGAAATCTTGATGTCCAGAGCAGTCGTGTGTGTGTGTGTGTGTGTGTGTGTGTGTGTGTGTGTGTGTGTGTGTGTGTGAGCAGTCGTGTGTGTGTGTGTGTGTGTGTGTGTGTGTGTGTGTGTGTGTGTGTGTGTGTGTGTGGTCACAGCCCCCTGTACCGGTTCCTTAGGAATCCTTGGTGCTCAGAGACGTGGCTCACCTCACTTGTCTGGCCTCCAAAGTGAAGGAGATGTTTCTGGATAAGTGGGAAGGTTGGGTTATTTTAATTTTCCTCCTATTTTTTCCAGCAGGGCCTGTGATTATTACATTAATCTTCCAGGCGAAGTTTTTACGACCGATCCCTCACTGACTATGAGAAGTTTCTCCATCCATTACCAAGAGGGAAACAGACCCTGTGGGGAGGGAAATATTTGTTACATCTTATCAGGCTGACACACAATCTACCAACAATTATAGCAGCCTCATTTTTTGCACTATTTCAGGTCTGGCGTGAAAAATTGTTGTAATATTAAAGTGAGGCAGGGTGGGGGTTGGTCATAGGGAATGGCTGATATTCCAAGCTCTGGGCCCATGCTCTTGGGTGCCTCCCCACACTGGGCAAACTGATTGGGTGGGCTGGAGAGGGAGGGGTTGCATGTAATCCCAGCTCCCTGATCCTGTGTAATGGGCCACTATGAAAGCAAGAAGGGCCCTTGAAAGACTTGCTGGCCCTTGCTGAGAATCCACCATGTCCTCTTATTTTCTCAGCCTAAATACCTGCTCACCCCCACACCTCTTTGGTTGCACCCTCT